GTGATTGTCACAAATTATTTGGTTGACTGTGACTAGTAAATTAGTTCATTTGTGACTAATAAATAGTATGTGATTAATTATTTGAGATTGTGACCAATAAACTGAATATTTCGTGACTAATAAAAAATATGTAATCTATAACTTGTGACGAATAAATAATATGTAACTTAAAAATTTCGGAAATGCTACAAGTATATTAGGGGTGCCATAATGGTGTTCATAATGGACACATGGTACCCCACCATTGAAGAGTGTATTGGCCCACCAACACACTCTTCAATGGTGGGGTGCCATGTGTCCATTATGACATCCCTAATGTACAAGAAGAATTATCCTAAAAATTTAAGTTGTGACTTATGAAATTTGTTATTTGTGACGATAAATAATTGTGATCTATAATTTCTTTGATTTGTGATCAATGAATAAATTGTGACCCGTAGAATTTTTTATTTGTGGCCTGTAATTTTTTGTTTTATTTTTGATTGAGAAATAATTTGTGACCAACTAATTCAATAATTTGTAACCAAATAGTATATAATTACGACCTTAATATATTTAATTAATAAAATATATTTTTAGTTAATTATTTCATAAATAAAATTTAATTAGTATCTGATTTCCGAAATTTTTAAACCTTGTTTCTTTGTTTTGAAACATGTTATACTTAATCTCTTGTACATAAAATTTTCCCAAGTATCGATAAGGGTTCTTTAGGAGTAAATAACTCGAACAGTCCCAAAACTTTACTTTGTGGGGAAAATGTCCACCTACTTTTATGTTGCTCTGGAACCTAATACAGTAACAAAGATAAAATCGCACAATTTTTCTGAAGCGTTTTGATGTTTAAAGTACAAAAGAAGCGTATTTTCCTTTTGAAAAATGATGTCATTTTATCTAAGGGTGGACATTGTTACATTTGATATTGGTTTTGGTTCCAAGAGAACCAAATCGAACTATGAATTAATGATTTTTTTGAGAAGAAAGACAGAATATTCAAGGAAGAAGAACTGAAGGTTGATGCTTCAGTTTAAGAAATCCACGCGACGGTGATGGCTGAGCGCTGCATTAGACGGTAGTTGTTGGCTTCCATGTGAGAGTCGATGTATAAGTTGTAAAAGAAAGAAAATGAGAAATAAATTAGGGTCTGGGTATTCAAAATGAATTAGGATCTTCAATCTCCACATTAAGAAATGAGAAACCGAAGTTACATGATTTTCAATTGGATTTTAAATTTTTTGAAGTGAATCGTGATTCACTAAAAATAATAATAATAATGCTAATATAATTTAAATATTGAGTTTGACTCTTGATTCTAGAACTAGAATCGAATGAGAACTAGAATCAAATAGTTCTAAGTTCTAAGAATTAGAACCATTAATTTTTTTTATAGAACCGAATCGAATTGTTCGATTTGATTTGGTTCTGATTTGGTCTGATTTATCATTAGGTGCATTAAGAAAAAAAAAATATAAAGAAGAAAGAAAAAAAAAGAAAACAAATTATGGGTTGGACTAACTTGGCCTGCAATATTGACAAATCATGGGCCTATTCGATCCTCATATTTAGGAAATTGTCGTTATCTAGCTCAAACCGTATTCCTAGAATCGACCTGTTTAACTTATTTTTAAAATTAACTTATAAGAAAAATGTGCTCGAAGCACTTGTAAAGTCAACTGGTCATTACATGTAGTTTCCTTATTTTTATCCCACTTCTCCAAAAATTTTAGGCATGTAAGTACGTGTTAGGCGAACTTTAATTATTTTTTTAAAGTAGGTCAAATATACTATTTATCCATATATTTTATTGGATATTATCCACTTATTTATCATACCATCAACTTATTATTCACATATTCCATACAATTCATAGTTTATAAGTACTTAAAAACACTATTAAACCGATCTTTAAAAAAAAAAAAAAAAAACTAAATTGGAGACATACATACATACATACACACCCATACACGCGCGCTCACGCTCGCGCGCACACATATACACACGGATTTGATCTCATAAGCACTGTGCTTAGCTAGGTGACAAACAAACTACCCAT